GCACATATTGAATGGAGCACTGGGTGTTATACGCAAGCAATGAATCATGGAACACTACATCAAAAACTAATGTTGTAATGTATGGTGACTAACATAACATAATAAAATTTTTTAAAAAAGTGATTCAGGTGAGACACTAAAACTTGTTAACTGAGCCTGGCAGTTAGGTTATAACTACCACAGAAAGCACAAATTTGGTGGGTGGTATGGGTGGAAGTCAAGTTGCAGTGGACTGAAGATCGAATGGGAATTGGGGAGATGGAAAGAGAAAGTATATAGGACTCATTTGAAAGTTTGGATGAGAAGAGAAGCAGGGAAATTGTACTACAACTTGAGGGGGATGTGGTTTCAAGAGATGAAATGCTTTAGGCCTGGAAATGCTTGAATATGTTTAAATGCTGATTAGAAGCCAAGAGAGAGGGAGAGGGAGAAAGAGAGATGGAGGAGGAAGGGAAGGAGAGAGGGAGGGCGGGAGAGAATGGCTACAGATAAAGGAGAGAGGGACAGAGTCAGAGACAGAGGTGGATGGATTAAAAAGTTCATTTATTCAATAAATTGTTTATTGTCCACTGGGCCAGATCCCTGGCATATTATGGTGAGCAAAGACATCGCTCTGTCCTGAAGAAGCAGTATAATGGGGGGGGGGCACATCAATCAATTATAAAAACAAATCTTTAATTATGAAGGGAAACCTCAGTGAGATACCACCTCACACCAGTCAGAATGGCTAATGAGAATGAATAATGGGGAATTGATACTTTCATACTGGCTTCTGTGTCCTTTTGACAATCCCCATCACTTTTTTTTTTTTTAAGATTTATTTATTTATTTATTTGACAGAGAGAGAGAGAGACAGCTAGAGAGGGAACACAAGCAGGGGTAGTGGGAGAGGGAGAAGCAGGCTTCCCTCCGAGCAGGGAGCCCGATGCAGGGCTCGATCCCAGGATCCTGGGATCATGACTTGAGCCCACGGCAGATACTTAACAACTGAGCCACCCAGTCGCCCCAGCCCTATCACTTTTTGACTGTGCTTATTTTGCTGCACAATAAGATGTTCCAGACTCATTCAGTACTTTTCCTGCCTCAATCCTGATATCAGTCATTCCTATGATTCCGTTTCTTCTGAAGAATGATATTTAGATAGCAAGATTTAGGTGCTAGATATGTTCCAAGCTTTTGGGA